TTGAATCTTTTCTCTGTGGTCATTCTAGCTAAAGGTCTTTTCCAAGAACTAATTTTGGTTTGTTGATTTTCCCTAATGTTTTTCTGTTTCCCTTTTCTATATATTTCTGCTCTAATTGTCATTATTTCTTCCTGTTGTTTGGTTGCTTTTGCTCTCCCCACCCCCACCAAGTTTTTTAAGGGAAAGGTTAGGTTACTGATTTGAAATCTTGTGTTTTAAGATAGAGACATTTATGCCTATAAATTTTTCTTTAAAGAGTTCTACTTTAGCTGCATCCTATAAGTTTGGGCATATTGTGTTTTCATTTTCATTCATCTCAAAGTATTTTATAATTCCTCTTTTGATTTCATCCTTTTTTATTTTAGTTTTTTATTGTTGACACTTTACAGATGTCCCCCAATCTCCCCATTTTTGACCCCTCCACCCAGCTCCTGCCCCACCCTAGACCTTCACCACACTATTGTCTGTGTCCATGGGCTGTGCATATATGTTCTCGGGGTAATCTCTTCCCATCTCCCCCACCCCTCTTTCCCTTGAGAGTCAACAGTCTGTTCCATGTTTCCATCTCTCTGGACCTATTTTTTTTTTTTTAAATATATTTTATTGATTTTTCACAGAGAGGAAGGGAGAGAGACAGAGAGTCAGAAACATCGATGAGAGAGAAACATCGATCAGCCGCCTCCTGCACATCCCCGACTGGGGATGTGCCCGCAACCCAGGTACATGCCCTTGACCGGAATCGAACCCGGGACCCCTCAGTCCGCAGGCCGACGCTCTATCCACTGAGCCAAACCGGTTTCGGCTGGACCTATTTTTTTTTTGTTAGTGTATTTTGTTCATTAGATTCCACATATGAGTGAGATCATGTGATACTTGTTTTTCTCTGACTGGCTTTATTTTGCTTAGCATAATACTCTCCAGGTCCATCCATGCTGTCAGCTTCATTTTAAAAATATATATATTTTTATTGATTTCAGAGAGTAAGAGAGAGAGATAGAAACATCAATGATGAGAGAGAATCATTGATTGGCTGCCTCCTGCGCACACCCTACTGGGGATCGAGTCCGCAACCCCCGTATGTACTCTTGACTGGAATTGAACCCAGGACCCTTTAGTCTGCAGGCTGATGCTCTATTCACTGAGCCAAACCAGCTAGGGCTGCTTCTTCTTTATTTTTTGTTCTTTGTTGTTGTTGTTAATCCTCACCCAAGGATATTTTTCTCTTGACTTTTTAGGGAGGGCGGAAGAGAGAGGGAAAGACAGAGAGAGAACCATGAATGTGAGAGAAACACATTGATTGGTTGCTTCCTGCAGGAGCCCTCACCAGGGCCCAGCCCGGCCCGGGGAGGAGCTTGCAACCAAGGTACTGTCCCCAAGGTACATGCCCTTGACTGGAATCGAACCCAGGACCCTTTGATCTGCAGGCTGACACTCTATCCACTGAACCAAAAAGGCTAGGGCACTGCTTCATTTTTGAAGGGTAAATTTGTTGGTTATAGAATTCTTGGTGGAGATTTTTAATTTCAGGACTTTGAATATGTCATCCCACTGCTGCCTGCCCCCCATTGTTTTTTATGAGAAAGCAGTTACTAATTTTATTAAGGATCCTTGTATATGAGCAGCTTCTGTACTGTTGCTTTCAAGAATTTGTCTTTTCTATTGACATTTTGCTTATCATGTATCCAGGTTAGGTTCTCTTTAACTTTATCCTGTTTGGAATTTGTTAAAACTTCTTCTTTAATATATAGGTTAATATTTTATATAACATTAGGAAAGTTTATAGTCATTATTTTTTTACATATTCTTTCTGTCCCTTTTTTCTTCTCTGCTGGCATTTCCATTATGTATATGTTCATATTGTAGGAAGATGATCTCTTAGTTGCTGCTCTTTTTTTTTACACCCCCTCTGTTGTTGTTTTTCTCTTTTGTTTCTCAAACAGGGTATTTGCAGTTGGCTCATGTTTAAGTTTGCTCCTTCTTCCTTCTGCAGCTCAAACCCATTGCTGAGTCCCTAGTGAATTTTTGCAGTTATTGTAATTTTCATTTCTAGAATTTTTACCTGTTTCTTTCTTATGTTTTCTCTCTCTTTATTCATATTATCTATTTGTTGAGACATTGCTCTTGTACTTTCCTCTAGTTCAGTGGTTCTCAACCTGTGGGTCGCGACCCCCTTTGCCTGTCGAACGACCCTTTCACAGGGGTCGCCTAAGACCATCCTGCATATCAGATATTTACATTACGATTCATAACAGTAGCAACATGACAGTTCTGAAGTAGCAACGAAAATAATTTTATGGTTGGGTCACAACATGAGGAACTGTACTTAAAGGGCCAGAAGGTTGAGAACCACTGCTCTAGTTCTTTACAACGTACTTATAATGGTAGATTTCATTCGGTTAATTCCAGCGTCTGGGCTTCCATTAAAGATGGTTTCTGTTGATTGATTTTTTTCCCTGTGTATGGGCTGTATTTTCTTATTACTTTACACGTCTCATAATTTTTTGTTGAAACTCATCATTTCAAATTATATGTTGTGGCGCCTCTGAAAAGCACCTTCTTCTCCCTCCCCAGGCTTGTTGATGGTGTTTGTTGCTTATTGCTTACTTAGTGACTTGCCTGAACCGATTCTGTAGTCTGTATTCTGCAGTTGTGTGTGACTACTGAAGTCTTTGCTTGGTTAGCTTAGACTGCCGTGGTGGCAAATTGCGGCTCGCGAGCCACATGCGGCTCTTTGGCCCCTTGAGTGTGGCTCTTCCACAAAATAGCCGTGCGTCCGCGCACGTACAGTGCGATCGAAACTCCGGGGAGTCTATTTTGAAGAAGTACTGTTGATATTTGGCTCTGTTGACTAATGAGTTTGCCGACCACTGGCTTAGAGTTCAGCTAACGATTGAATAGGTTTTCAGCCGGTGGATCTCTCAGCCTTTGCCGAAGGGCTCTCTGTGTGTGTTGCGGCATGCTTTCAGTTTCCTGGCCGGCAGACTGCATCTCCACCTTCCCCTTTACTGCCAGAGGTGAGACAGTGCCTTCTTGGGTCTTTCCTGGGCAGGTACCCAGCCTTGCACACACGTGTGGCCTCCTAGTTTCCCAGGAATATGTCAGAGCTTTTCACAGCTTTTCCTTGTGAGCTCTTTGGTCAGTTTCTTGGCTCCAGTTGTGATTGCCACCTCAGGCAGCTGCCCTGTGAATCAGTTGTCCCTGATTCTTTTTGATCATGGTGTCAGGGTAAAGCAAGCATGTCAAACTCAAAGGCTAGCACGGGCCAAATAAACAAGGTTTAAGTGTATGTGGGCCGCAAAAAAAAAGGTTCAATTTTCATAGCAACATAGGTTTATTTGATAGAGACATGCTTGATACAAAGGGCTGAAATAAATGAGTCATTGTTAACATAAAATAATACATTTTAATAAAAATTAATATTTTTTCTTAAACATTAACTTATCAGACACTGAAGAACTGCGCAAATTAATAAGCGTAATGTAAAGAAACCTATTTTTCTTGTTCTCTGAAAGCAAAATATTTCCTATTGCGCACACCAAACAAGTCAGTACAAGACTAATGACGTGGCCTGTGCTCTGACCAGGAATCAAACCCTGACTTCCTGGTTCTTGGGTTGACGCTCAACCACTGAGCAACACTGGTGGGGCTAGGTTTTTAATTTAAATGCCAACCGTGCTTAATTGTGAGTGGCTGCCTAGCGCAGTTTGAGAGGGGATCTGAGGCTATAGCTGGACTTAGATGGAAAGATGGGTTGAAAAGATTATTGATACGGACCGTGGAATGGGAAGGGAGAAGAAGTATATCAGGCTAGTTCCTCTCTTTCATTTTATCTCTGTCTGCTGATGTGCATTTTTGGCTCCCCTGTTACTTAGAATTCTAAGTAGAATAGAATGAAGAGGTTAGGAACCTCTGGAGGCTAGGAACTTTCCACATTCAGCATCTAGCTAACTCTGCAGGATTCAGTGAATGAACTCAGGCACTGAGACCAAAATGATTGAAATAACTAGTTTTCTGAAGTGAGGGCAGGGGACAGCATTAGGTACCAGCTTTGTCACACGTGGTATCACTCCCCTGCATGGCATAGTACTTGGTGTATACAGAATACAAAAAGAATATAGTTCCCATCTTCACCCCAAGGAATTTCCATTCTGGTTGGAAAGAAAGGACAAACATGGTTGGAATGATTAGAGCTTGTGTGACTGGATTGTTTGTAAGAAAAGTGCTAACATTTCAAATTAGGTCCCTGAAATGGATGGCGTAGGTTTGAATGCAGAAGTACATTACCTTGGTATCTTAACCTTTATACTTATTCAAATGTACCTGTGTTTGCTTGGGAAAGCCTCTTTTTTCTTGACCCCCCCCCCACCCCCAACTTTCCTCTAATTTTTGGTGTCACTCAGAATACTGAGTTTTGCTTTAATTTAAATGTCAAGGTGAAAATGATCCACTAATAAAAAATTAATGTCATATTGCTTTTTTTTAAAGATGAAGATTACCCAGTTACAATGTTTGTAGATAAATTATTTATAGCATTTTAAAATTAAGCATAAATCACCAAAAAGAAAAACCTTTGTAATATTTAGAGCATTTTACAAATCTTTATCCTAAGTAATTAGCAGTCTGTGCTTAGGCAGAAATATATGCTTTTCATAGTGTATATTCATTTTGTATAGATCAATAAATTTAATATAATGTCCGAGAGGACGAGCTCTGGATTCTTAATCTCAGGACTGAAATCTCCACCCCAACTGTGTCACCTATGCAAGCTGTGGGGTTCTTGATTTCCTGATCTGTAAAATGGGGATGGTAATAATCCCATATTAGGCTGTTACAAGGGTTAAACAAGATCTGTCAGTTAGAGCCCTCAGGTCAGTGCTTGACCGATAGTAAGTGCTTGTTGATGTTCTTATTGTTATAGTCACTGTCTTTGTTATTAGGTGGGTTTGTATTACTGTTTTTTTCAGTGATGGTTAATAATTTATATTTTTTCATTCATACAGGTTGAATTTAATTTTTACAAAATTTGATGAAGTCCAAAAATCTGGAAATATGATACAATCTGCAAATGGTGAGTAGAGAAAGCAGTCATTCTGTTTTTGCTTTGTCAGTTTTATGTCAGCAATGCTTATGCTATTTCTGAGCAGTTGAATTTAATGTCTTGATAAGAGTTTCTAGGTCTTAAGACTTAATTTCCATTTACTCACTTTCCGAAGCCAAAAACTGTGGAGGTGTCATTGACATTCTTTCATAACCTGCCTTGAGTTCATCAGCTGTTCCTGTTGGCTTTACTTTTAAAAATACACCTAGAGTCCCAGTGGTTCTCACTGGAGCAGCTGCTTTTCTCTTAGTGAAAGCTGTCATGGTAATTTACCTGAGCTCTTGTGTTAGCCTAACCAATATTCTTAATTTTAGTCTATCACTGCACCTAACGTTTATTTTTCACACAGCAATCAGAGTAATCCTTTTAGAATGTAACTTAAGCGATGTTAATTCCCTCTTCAAAGTCCTCCAGACGTTTCCCATCACATAGAGACGACAGTTCAGTGGGTCATCATGGCCTCCAGGCCCTGCGTGGTCTGGTGCTGATCACCGTTCTGATGACATCTTGTTTTGTTCTTCCCCAAAGTTCTCTCGGCTGCCATTCCATTGGCCTTTCTGATTTTGAACATTCTAAGCTTCTCTGTGGGTCGAGAACAATGAAAATACATCCTGCATATCAGATATTTACATTACGATTCATAACAGTAGCAACATTACAGTTATGAAGTAGCAATGAAAATAATGTTATGTTTGGGGGTCACCACAACATGAGGAACTGTATTAAAGGGTCGCGGCATTAGGAAGGTTGAGAACCACTGCTCTAGGGCCTCCATGCTTACGAATCCTTCTGCTCGAAACATTTGTGTCCTCTGTGTCATCAGGGCTGTCTTCCTCATTCCATCCAGATCGTGGCTGTAGTATCACTTCATTACAAAAGCCACCTGGAATAGCACACCCAGTTTTCTAAGGGAACTCTCTCTGCCTTCATCCTGCTTGACTTACCTTCTTAGTGCATATCACTACAAAACATTTTTATTCATGAGGGCAAGAACTTTGTTTTATTCCTTTATCCTTAATGCCTCACAAAGTCCCTGGCATGTGGTAGGTTGAATAAATAAAATAATAACTGAGACTTGAGTTCTGACCCATTGTCCAGTATTTGTATTCAGTTTATTGTAGCTTGTAATGATATTTGAGGACAAGGGGTAATTCTTGTGATTACAGAAGGGAAGGAAAAGAGTGAATTACTGTGTAAATAAAGTCATCAAAGGGACAATTGTGAACAAGAACTTTTTTATACTCTGGATACCTCATTGCATCATAGCTATTTCAGAATTGCTGGGGATCTGAAATCATAGCAGAACTTTCAAATTTTGAATATCTTCAGATTGTCAAGAAGTTTGAGTGATTTCCTCCATGTAAGGAAGGGCAAAGCCAGAACCCAATCCAGGCCTTTTGACTTACACTCGGCTATGTACCTATCATTATCAGTAAAGAATTTGTCTTTAGATAGCATGTTTCTTATAAAATGCTTAAACTGTCCTAAAAATGCTTTTATTAATTCCTTTTATTTCTTATTTTCTAATTCCCTTTATTTATTTCTAAAGTAATTTTTTATTTTCAATCACAGGTGGCATACACTATTATATTAGTCTCAGGCGTACACCCCAGCAATTAGATATTACATACTTAATACGTGATCATCCTGATAAATCCTGCACCTGTCTGACACTATGCAGAGTTATTAGACTGTTATTGACAGTGTTCCTTATGCTGTACTTTACATCCCTGTGACTATTCTGTAACAACCAATTTGTACTTCTTAATCCCTCCATCTTTTTCACCCATCCCACAACCCCCCTCCCATCTGGCAACAGTCAAAATGTTCTCTGTATCTGTGATTCTGTTTCGGTCCTGCTTGTTTGTTTATTTTATTTTTTAGATTTAATTGTTGATAAATATGTATTTATTACCATTCTACTGTTCATATTTTTTATATTCTTCTTAAAGAAGACCCTTTAACATTCATATGATATTGGTTTAATGGTGATAAATTCCTTTAGTCTGGGAAGCTGTTTAGCTGTCCTTTGATTCTAAATGATAGCTTTGCTGGGTAGAGTAATCTTGGTTATAGGTCCTTGCTTTTCATCACTTTGAATATTTCTTGCCAATCCCTTCTGGCCTGCAAGGTTTCTGTTGAGAAATCAGCTGGAAATCTTAAGGGAGCTCCCCTGGTAGGTAACGGCTTCTCTCTTGCTGCTTTTAAGATTCTTTCTGTCTTTAACCTTTTGCACTTTAATTATGATGTATCTTGATGCGGGCCTGTTTGGATTCCTCTTCTTTGGGACTGTGTGCTTTCTGAACTTGTATGTCTTCCTTCACCAATAGGGAAGGTTTCTGTCATTATTTTTTCAGTGTATTTTCAATTTGTTGCTCTCTCTGTTCTCCTTCCGAAACCCCATGATGTCAATGTTGGAACGCTTGAAGTTGTCTCAGAAGCTCCCTACCCTGTCCTCATTTTTTCGGATTCTTTTTTCTTGTTGCTGTTCTGATTGGGTGTTTTTTGCTTCCTTATATTCCGAATCATTTATTTGATTCTTGACTTCATCTACTCTACTGTTGATTTTCTGTAAATTATTCTTCATTTCAGTTAGTGTATCCTTCATTTTTACCAGTCCTTTTTCATGTGTTTGAAATTATCATTAAGATTCTTGAGCAACCTTATACCAGTGATGGTGAACCTATGACACGCGTGTCAGAGGTGACACGCGAACTCATTTTTTTGGTTGATTGTTCTTTGTTAAATGGCATTTAAATATATAAAATAAATATAAAAAATGTAAGTCTTTGTTTTACTATGGTTGCAAAGATCAAAAAATTTTTATATGTGACACAGCACCAGAGTTAAGTTAGGGTTTTTCAAAATGCTGACACGCCGAGCTCAAAAAGTTTGCCATCACTGCCTTATACCATTGTTTTGAACTCTGTATCCAGTAGTTTGCTTGCTTCCATTTCATTTATTTCTCTTTCTGGAGATTTCTTTCATTCTTTCATTTGTGATGTGTTTCTTTGTCTCTGCATTTTGACTGCTTCCTTGTTTTTGTTTCTATATATTGGGTAGAGCTGTTATGGCTCCTGGAATTGGTAGAGTGGCTTTTAAGAGGAATACCTGGGACTCCAACAGCCTCCATTGTCACTCAGCTATAATCTGGCTGGTTTTTACAGCCTGAAGATACGTGGACTTCTCTTCCCAGATCTGGAACCCTGGGCTAGGGATCTGGTGTTGGGCTGGGAACCCCTTGTTCCTTATGGGAGGCCTTGGCAGGGGAGATATCCCTTCTGATTAAAAACATGCCACGTGTCCCATCAGTGATTCTCTCTCATCGTTGATGTTTCTCGCCCTCTCTCTTCCTCTCTGAAATTAAAAAAAAAGCCCTAGCCAGTTTGGCTCAGTGGATAGAGTGTCAACCTGCGGACTGAAGGGTCCCAGGTTTGATTCTGGTCAGGGGCACATGCTTGGGTTGTGGGCTCGATCCCCAGTGTGTGGTGTGCAGGAGGCAGCCCATCAACGATTCTCTCTCATCATTGATGTTTCTCTCACTTCTCTCCCTTCCTCTCTGAAATCAATAAAATATATTTAACAAAAAACAAAAAATGTGCCACACGTGGGTGTCGGACCAGCCTGTTCCACGCCTCCACCCCTCCTACCAGTCTCAGTGAGCTTTCTTCTTGACCTTTCTAGTTGTAGGACTTCCATTCAGCCAGATTTCAGGCGGTTATGAACGATGGTTTTTCTGTATGTTAGTTGTAATTTTGATGTGGTTGAAAGAGGCAGCGAGTACTGGCATTTACCTACGCTGCCATCTCAGTTCTCCAATAATAATGCTTTTCTGAATAGGTAACAAAAGCCCTGGATTTGAGCTAAGTTGAAAGAAACTATTAATGTAATAGCAATACTCTTAGGGAAGAAATGAGTTTCATCCTTGGTTGTATTTCTTGACATATTCAAATTGCTTTCTAAGATGTGTAATTGGTCATATTTATATAAAGTGTAAGAATTGTGACTAAATCAACAAGTAAAAAACAGCTGAGTAGCAATTAGTCCTGTCTGTAATAGAATACTTCATACTCGAATGGTTCTTTTCTTGTTGCTAGGTTGCCCCTAAGGTCTTTTAGCTTTGATTGGCAAGAATATGGGAGTATAAAATACATTGTGTTATAGATGTTTCTCTTTTTTTCCATGTCTAGGTAATTAGCAAACTCCTTGAAGCAAAAATTACAGTTTTTCTTTCCTTGGGTTTTGAAAGCAGATTATTTTCTATTTAAGCTTTTGTTCTTTCAGTCATGCAGATAAGTGTATGTTCACGGGGAACGTGGTTTTCAGCATGGAAGAGCCAGTTTTAAAGACTGGTTAGTGTCCTTCATCTGCAGCCACTCCTGATCTTTAATCGGATTTGACTGAAGCGAGGCCCATGGACATGAATTTGGTTAAACATGTTCATGTTTTTGAATTTCATAAGCAAAGCTAACATGTTTATGAGGGAAGAATGAAAATATCATACTGGTAAATCCATGAACATTTCATCATTCAGAACCGCCTGAAATCTGGCTGAATGGAAGTCCTACAGCTAGAAAGCCAAAGAAAAAGACAAAATATTTATTTGCCAACAAAACTATAAACTAGATAAAAGATAATCAATTGGCCTTTGTACATGAATATATCTAGTTTATCCTTTTACTGCCAAATGCATCCTACCTAATGTTTTTTTACTGAAAATTTTTATAATTTGAAAAATGTTACATATCTTTTTTTTTTTTTTAAATATATTTTATTGATTTTTTTACAGAGAGGAAGGGAGAAGGATAGAGAGTTAGAAACATCAATGAGAGAGAAACATCGATCAGTCGCCTCCTGCACATCCCCCACTAGGGATGTGCCCGCAACCCAGGTACATGCCCTTGACCAGAATTGAACCCGGGACCCTTGAGTCCGCAGGCCAATGCTCTATCCACTGAGCCAAACCGGTT